ACAAATTTGCAGTGGGCTCTGCAGAACGATGATCAGTACCAGAACAGTGCGTGGTACCATCCTCTCACGCTCCGCCCAGCATCTGCAAACCAAGGATATCTTGAGCAGCAGACCTGGAAATTCAATCCAGTGGTGGCAGGCAGTTAACCATGAACCATGCTGTACTCATTACCAGTTTTCTTCTTGCAAATAAAACTCCCTGTTTGATCATGATCGGCTCGATCATCGTCTCTGCAAACACGATGATCTCAGGCTAATCTCCGGCAAGATCGCCTCAGCTCCCAGGATCTTCGAGATGTCCCCCGACTTCGTAAGCCCAAAGCGGCGATGTCTAGATTCTTCCACACCATGCCGGCTCGCAGCGGCGTCTTGTGCTCCAGGCCTGGCCAGAAAGATCTTGTTGGATCGAAGTCCTGTCTCTTGGATGATCGCGATTTACGGCCAAGCTGGTCGCATCGTCCGGTCCCTCAAGATCATCCACAGCTTCCACCTGAAAGGAATGCTGCCGGATCAAGCCACGTTCGTCTGCGTTCTAGCTGCGTGTAGCCACGCTGGTCTGCTCGAAGTTGCGTACGAGATCTTCTGCTCCACTGTGAACTACGGGCTTTCCTTGCTCGGAGATCACTGCCGCTGCATGGTTGATCTCCTCGGATGCTCTGGCCAGTAGGAAGAGGCCGATGCATGCCATCGCAGCCGGGGAGCTCGGCCTGGACGAGCCTGTTAGCTTCTTGCCGGATCCATAGTGACGCACGGCGAGCTGCCAGAGCCGGGCAGTATGCTAAAGCGCCAGTGTTGCGTCCTCGTCGAGAGTCACTAAGATTTTTTTTTGTTTCCCATGGCTGCGCTGCTGCACCTGCTGTGGTCTGATGCACACCAGGTCCTCGAGCTTGTTGCCGTCGATCTTGTACATGGTGACGCCTTCCATGGCGCGGTAATGGTGTTGAGCTTCACTTCTCAGGGAGTTCACGCTTGTTTTCTCCCACTTTGCGTAGTTTGAGTTCTTGCGGGTCTCGCTCATGTCTTTTGATCCTGACAGGCGTCCATTTCGAGATGAACTTCCCCATACTTTGCAGTTCTTGAAAGCTCCCTGGTCTTTGCCTGGCTTTCGTTTGAGTCCCATTGCTGCGTAGTAGGCTGCGTTTACTGTCGGTCGGGTCGGAATGACCGACCAGTCTTGCTTTCTGGCTTCTCGCATTGGAGAATGCAGCCTCATTGTCTGTATGCACGGAGACTGTCAATGATAATCCACAGTCGTTCTTCTTACCCCGAGGCATTCCAACAGTTGATAGTAGGCTCTGCCTTGTAGTGGATTGTGTCCCTTGCGAGAGAAGTAACGAGTCTTATAGATGAAAAGAATGGTACAATGATAAGAAGTTGGAAGGAGTGTGAGTCAATACCATTCCGTGTAGCCTGGATCCACCGTAAAACCATACATATCCACCGAGTTACACATTGACAAGGCGAGCTCCAAAGACTTAATGCCTGTCCCTTTCGCTCCCCGACGGAAAACTACACCTTGGAACAAGTAGACAGGATTCGGAAGAAGCTGTAAAAGATAAAACTCAGTTAGCAAACCGCATAGCAAACGTCAAAGGCCCTATCACTTTTATTTTAGCGTTGAAGTCCCGATGGATAACACTCTTGATAATCAACACTTCATCATCTGCAAAAATCCTCTTTTGCATTAAGCCAGTACTTCGTTCATAGACTTCTACTACGTACCAGATCCCGTTGCAACCTCAAGCAGGTTTCTTACTACTCCATGAGCCATCAATCGAAAACTCCGTTTCATGCCAACATGCTTTGCGTATTTCTGTGAAATGGAAGCAACTTTTGCGAGCTCAGTAGTACGCAACCTTTGTGAGGTGATTACCGTGGTCACTGGTGCCTCATTGTCTCGGATGACAATATCGTGAGCATCTATCACCTTTCCAAACTCCGTCTTTAAAAGGTCTCCTGAGTTCCCCACCACCGCACACGTCCTAAACTGGCGCGGCCAAAACGGTGGCTTTGGCGGTAGTATCAACTCGAGATGTTCTTCGCACAGGCTTCGATTGGAACAGTTAGCTGCACCCCTGCACAACTATATAAAAAACTTCCATCAACGTCAAGCTTAGCTTACAGTTGAGCTATTCGTTTTGCAGCGTAGTCCATCCAGCCACCGGGACGTGCATCCAAATACTCGCGAGTCAATATCGTTGTGACGTTTCGATACTGCAAACTCAAAAGTGTTATTTGAATCAAGAGCAAAATTTGCAGCAAAGTACCTGTTCCCACAGGAGCAGCGTCTCGCAGACGTCAAATTCATACTCCAGTGGCTCGTAGATTTTGAACTGCTCATTTCGCTGTACTGAGTAAACTTGTAAGCTTTGATCACGCAAAAATATTTCTAGTTACTTACCCAGGTACTATTTGTTCCCTCCGGATATTTCAGCACGATCTTGCAAGCATCCTTCACGGTTGCAGTCAATCCAAGCCCATTTCTTTCCTGTAAAAAGAAAGCATTGAAGCATCACTACTCTCCAACGAAGAAAACAAAGGAAAGAACATATAAGATCGAGAAAACTTACCACGCATTTTTGGACTTGACGCTGGAACGAATCAAGCGTAGAAGCGTCCCGATCTCGCAAGAAAAAGAAAAATCCTGGGGGCTGCAAGCCTACATTTCTCCCGCAACAAAGAGCGATCGATCCACATCCAACAATCGCAGCGAGATACCTTCCACCTTGGGGCGCCAGGAACAGGAGGCAGATCAGGGACACCAGCGCCGCAATCGCGAGTGGGAGCGACAATAGCAAGGCCACGCCATTTTTCGCCCCCTCCTACGCACGGATCAAGCGAGCTCCTCCCTGCAAACCTTGCTCGGGGGGCAATGCTCAGCAAAGAAGGCTCAGTCAATTAATATGTTAATGGAGGTATAGCTCAAAGGTAGAGCAATCGGCTGCAGTCCGATAGGTCACCAGTTCAATCCTGGTTGCCTCCTTCGCCAATAATTTCTTCTACCAAAACAAATCTGTCAGCGTCGACGCCTGGATAACCTTCCAACCAACGCTACATATGGTAGGCACAAAGTCAGTGTAAGAAGTGTGAAACACATGGGATAATGCGAGAGAAGCTGCCACTATATAAATTGGCATACGTTCAAAGAGCTCTATAACTTCACACTCATCCCTTTGGCTTCTCAAAAGCTTTAGTCTTTTCTTAAGAGTTTAGAGACATGGCTCTCACAGCAGCTCCAAAGTTCTACACCATCGAGTCTGCTGCTTATCCTGGCTATTGCATTACTCAGCAAGGCACCCAGATTGTTCTCAGGTCCAAGGACGCGCTCAACCCCTTCCAGGTAAAATCTTTGGAAACTTTGCCGGTTGTCGATCATCATGGGAAACTCTTGTGCAGCTGTGGTACAGGGATGAGTCATGGAACTTGCTGAACCAGGACTCCGCGTTCGTGTTTGTAAACCACGGCTCTAAGAAAGCTCTCCGGTCCCAGGCACACTCAACGTCTCGAAGCAAGGTAAACAGAAAATAGTATTCATACTATACACAGTTTCTGATCATATGGAATTTTGATGGCAAAAGGCTACTATTGGAGACTATGATCCGGCAGTCCAAGACGATTATCTCCTGTGGCGTATTTCCGGGAGCCACGAAAATCAAGTCTTGATCACCATGACTGGAAACAAGTCATCTTTTCTGAGCCACACTTCCTCAACTGCTAGCTTCAAGGATGGGGTGCCAGTGGTGACATCCAACAGCGATGGAAACTCTCACTGGAAGCTCGTCACTTACGGTAAGCATATGATTTGTTCTTCTTGGTTGTGGTTCATATGATGATGCTGCACAGAACCTTCTCAAGAGTACAGGATTATATGCGACTGGTATGAGCAATACTTGACTTGGAAGCAGCAAAATGTGGATGTAACTTTCAAGAATGCAGTCAAGCACAACGATGAGACAAACGTGGTGGCTATTCATCCAAGCAACGTTCCTCTCGACGGCATGGTTTGGATTTTTGTCGTTCTTTGTAATCTTATCTCATTCTATTCGATTACATATAGACATGGTACAAGGTTCCCGCTGGAGGAAGAGATGATACCACGTACTTCACCTCGTTCGTTCTCATAAACAAGGTGACTGGTCTTGCTCTCAAGGGGTCAACCAAGCCGGGAGACAAGGTAACTAGTGCACACTGTTGAAAACTTGAAGAAGTTCGCAAACTAAACGAATTGGATGATCATGGCAGGTGCTCTTGACTCAATATGATCCTCTCGACTACGGTTTCGTGTGGTCTGAGAACCGATTCCAGGCTTCAAAAACGGACTATCTCGCGATCAATCTGGATGGAACCAACTTGCAGTGGTCTCTGCAGGACAACAATCAGTACCAGAACAGTGCATGGTATCATCCTCTCGTGCTTCGCCCGGCATCTGCAAACCAAGGATTTGTTCAGCAGCAGGCATGGAAATTCAATCCAGTGGTGAACAATGTTTAGCTGGGACTTTTATGTTCATAAATGAGATGAGAAGATGCTAGATGTATGCATAAAAGTTCGTATGAATAATTACACTTCTAAATGTATCAGCTGCAGTATGATCAATATGTCACCAGTGTTTGTAATCAATTCATATACTTCCCAGAGGGAGAGACGATACCACGCACTTCACCTCGTTCGTCCTCGTGGACAAGATGATTGGTTTGGCACTCAAGTGGTCAACCAAGCCGGGAGATTCAAGGTACTCTTGAAAACTGTGAAGAACTTTGCAAACTAGCCTTGGAGGTGCTCCTGACTCACTACGATCCTCCCGACTACGATTTCGTGTGCTCGATTCCAGGCGTCAAACACGGCCTATGTCGCGATCAATCTGAATGGAACAAACTAGCAGTGGTCATTGCAGAACGATGATCAGTACCAGAACAGTGCCTGGTATCATCCTCTCGTGCTTCATCCGGAATCTACAAACCAAGGATATGTTGAGCAGCAGACCTGAAAGTTCAATCCAGTGGTGGCAAGCGGTTGACCATCAACCACGCTGTATTCATAACGAAACGCATACCATTGGTTTTCTCTTACAAATAAAGAGAGCTTGGTCCATCTTCTCACGGGAAAAAGAAACTCAGCACTTCCCACTTGTTTCTTTTTTCCATGGACCCAAGGACTTTGTCGCTTTTCTTCAGGTTTTCGTTCATTTCCATGGTCTGCAGGAACGGAACATTTGAGAAAACAAATTTTGGCTCGTTTGCTTACCTTGTTCTTGGCATGAAGCAGCTGATCTCTCTGCGAATGGAGCTGCTGCAGGATTGAAGCCCCCATCTCCTCGGATTCTGCCATTGCTTTCTTCATCTCTTTGATTCTCTCGCTCGACTTCTGCAGCTTATTTGTTGAGCGCTCCTCTGGATTCATCGCTCAAGAGTCAAGACCTAGCTTGAATTGGAAAAAGGATATTTCATAGGTGAAAGGATATCTTTTCCGCAAGGCATTGGATCCAAGTCCGGTCTTTCACGTTGTAAGCTCTTGGGACGTCTGAAACAAGGAGGAGTCCACCGTCTCTGGAAGGAAAGGACTGTGCGAGTAGAGAGTTGAGCCCCTTTGGTATGAAACTCAAGCCAGAATCACCTGTGATGTTGAGAGTGAAATGCTATGGAATGAGCGAATGCTACGAACCAGCACCAGAAGGGACGTAGATTGTTCTTTTGCTTTTGAGCTCTTGTAAAAACGAACGAAGCAAGGCCTGGAGGATTTTCAAAGGTGTTTCTGGATCGCCGTTGTCGACGCGTGGTAGATTCCAGCAGCCCCGAGCAAGGACGATTTCGTCTCCGTGAAAAGCTATCTGGAAGTGAAGGCCACGAATAGGAAAAACAAGAAAATTCAGTTGTAAGAAACGAACCACTGCGATTGTTTTTGTGTTCCGGATGAGCGCATACGAAACCCAAGCTAGCTCCTGTTTTTGAGCATCGGTAAGCCACTCGGCCATGACAAAAACTTGGCTCAAGTCGGAAGGCAAGCTTCCAGCTCTCGAGGATTGTCCATCCTGTGGAATAGTTCATGAAAAAAGACAGAGCAAAGCTAAAGTTACTTACTAGCTCCAGCTTTCTAAGAGATGGAAGAAGCACTGCGACAACAGATAAAAAGAGACCCACGCCTTCGGATCTCTGCAAGGAAACCGAAGAAATGTTTTCTGGAGAGGTGACAAATCTTTGATAATCACCCACCACTTACAAGCTGCGCCGGAGGAACAAGCTGACTAAAGATGTGATTGACAACGATCAAGCCTCCAAATGTGAATCCTAGAATGCGTGGCAATTTCGAATCATCGAATCCCGGAATGCCTGAATCAATCAAGCGATTTGACAAAAATAAATCTAACATCGGGTATGATTCTACCGAGTGTGAACCGAAGAACCGAGACATCAACATCTCGCGAGGCCCGCAGCTTCAATCTCGCATTCTTGCGCTGGCCTCGCAGAGGCAGGGCGGCATTGCTTGCAGCACATTTGCCCTCCCATACAGAGAACCAACCCGGGCGCCCAGCGGCAGCACTTCGCAAGAACATCACAAACCCTAAACCTTTGAATTAAACTTGGAATTCCCGCTCAAAAGAGCCCTAATCCTTTAAAGAGATGCACTGCATTGCGCTGCCAGGGGCCTGTAGTCCAGTGTACCACTGCCGCCATGGTGCTAGGGTTTACTCTCTCGCCTCGCAGTCGCCATCGCGGGTCTCTTCGTCCGGCTACTCGCGCTCGCCGCCAGGTAGGAGCGAGAGAAGCGATTTTCAGCGGTTCAAGAAAGATGGGACGCGGTATGGGGATAGGGATGAGTCTCGACCGCGGATATTTGGATTCGGGAATAGGAGGAGGCTGTGGAATCGAGATCGTGGTGTGGAAGCCGACGATGACAGTGAGAAATATTTTGTTCCTCAGGATCAAGGAGACGAGGAAGACGAGTCTGAGGAATCCTCATCGTCTGACAATTCTGATGGTAAGCTTCTTGCATTTCTAGATTAAAAGGAATTCAATCTCTCGTGGCAGAAGAGGAGAATGCCACATCTAGGCAGCAACCAGCCGTACTTGCTGAGCCTAAAACTCTGGCTAGAGACTTTCTCAAGAAGCTAAGAGCACGGCGTTTAGACGTGGAATCTAATAGCAAGGGGAGTTTGTCGCCCGTGAGTGAGGAAGGTGCGCTTTTCTTTTCTTTTGTCTTTCTTGTACGTTTTCTCATGCAAATTTTACGGTATTGCAGAGAATGGATCGCGATCTAGCGACATAAAACGCACGCTTAGAAGAAAAGAGAGCATCGACTACGAAGGTATTGTTGGATGAATTCTGTTTCTGTGAGCTGTAAAACTGTACTCATGCAGAAAATGAAACGAGCAATCGCTCTGAAAGAGAAGTGAGGGGCGATTCTACATTTTCTCGCCTTGGTAAAGGCTTGAACGATGAAAGTAAGATTTTTATTTTTTATTTTTTTTGTTTGTGAATATCTGAGACAATTTCTTGTAGTAAAGGAAACGGATTTTAAAAAGAAGCGCAGCTTTGGGAATGTTAAAACGGAGGAAGAAGTCCGTCCAAGGCGCTTGCCATCTAACAGTAAGGCTTACGATTCAGAGGACGAGTACTTTAGAAGAGACAGAAGAGAACGTAAAGAAAAACTGCGCGGGGACAATATGGGATCTAAACGAGACGAAGAAAAAAAGCGGGTCGATGCCTTCCTCAGCACGAAAAAGTTCCAGGCGCTTGGTGCTTCGCAAGAGATGATCGCCGCACTTTCTTCGCTAGAGATTGTTCGGCCATCAGAAATACAGGTACTCTTTATTATGCTTTTAGTTTCTTTATGGAGACACACTATACGTGAAGGCGTTATCGTATAAACAAGTCATGAGGGGCAACAGCTGCATTATTGCGGATCAAACTGGCTCTGGTAAAACTCTGGCCTACTTGGCTCCCTTGGTGCAGCGCCTGAGAGAGGACGAGGAGAAAGGAAACTTCTCAACAGCAAAAAATCCTCGCGTGCTAGTCCTTGCTCCAACAAGCGAGCTTGCAATGCAGGTAAAGCTCTCATAATGGGAATTGATGACCTCACATATCTCTTGCGCTCTTCTTTTTTGTTTCCCAAATTTATAGGTGCTGAGTGTGTGCAGAGCCTTGTCAACAACGTGTCCTTTGAAGTCCATGGTGGCAACGGGTGGATTCAAGTGGAAAACACAGGTGGAGAATCTGGCTAGTGGGCCTGACATTGTTGTGGCAACGCCTGGGCGGTTTCTTCATCATTTGGAAGAAGAAACAATTCAGCTCGGTAAGCTGCAAAGGTGAGAACGAATCTCTTTAAAAACAATGTGATCGCTTTTTCTAAGCACGGGTGTTTGACTGTCTAGTGTTGTCCTCGATGAAGTCGACATACTATTCGAGGAGGAAGAGTTTGTAGAAGCGATGCAGCGGGTGAGGAAACTGGCATCGAAGGACGTCCAATACATTCACGTGACTGCTACGTTACCAACTGATGTTCACGATAAAATTTTTAACAAGCACCCGGACTCTGTTCCTCTTCTAGGACCGAGTTTGCATCTCACTGCTCCTGGCCTCAACGAGGTTTGTTTTATCTTCTGATACTCCTTTTATCTGTCGAAGTTTGTTTCTTCTGTAGATCCTCGTCGATTGTAGTGGAGATGATGACAGCGAAAAGACTCCCGAAGCTGCCTTTGAGAACAAAAAGAAAGAGCTCTTGAATCTACTGGGAGAGAAGCGTGTTCCGAAGACAATAATATTCTGCAACAAGGTGAGTACGAAAGCATTTTCTCCATTCGTAACAGAGGTTTCCTGTGCAGATTGAGACGTGCAGGAAGGTGGAAAACATACTAAACCGCTACGATCGATCGGGTACAAAGCTATCCGTGCTGCCTTACCATGCAGCACTGTCGCAAGAAGCTCGACTGCAAAGCCTGCAAGATTTCCTGAGCTCGCAAAAGCCCGAAGTATCAACATTCCTGGTGTGCACGGACAGGTAATTCTAAAACTGGGTTTCCTTCTTCTCAAGTATTTTATACTTCTCGTACAGAGCCTCCAGAGGCCTGGACTCGGTTGGAGTGGGACGCGTCATCCTCTTCGACTACCCCCGAGATCCGAGCGAGTACATCCGGCGCGTGGGGAGAACCGCCCGAGCAGGCGGTGCTGGCAAAGTCTTCGTGTTCGTGGTGGGGAAGCAAGTCAGCCTGGCCAGAAAAGTCATGGCTCGTAACGAGAAACGGCATCCCGTGCACGCAGTACCTGGAGCTTCCACGTAAAAAAGCCCAACTTCCGTGCCACTCAAGCCGAGAATCTAGAATGGGAAAAGCTACACGACGAGACGAGTACTGTATACCACAACAAAACACCGAGGTGAGCCACCACCGCTCACAGAAGTTCTTCTCGTCCTGGTTCTTCGCGATCTAATCCATCGTCCTGTGCGCTACTCCAGGTGTTGGTGACCAAAGCGAGCGTCGTGTTTTGACGTGCTTGCTTGGCTTGCCTGGTGCTCGGCCTGTGTGACACTTGGATTGGACGGGAAGACTAATAATTCTTCTCGAATTCCCAGGAAGGAAAGCTTACAAGTGTGTGGAGCGAGCGATAGGGGGCGTCAGAGACGAACACGAGGACACCATTTTAGTTTATCTCGTTAACGTAACGCAGGACGTGGGCCGTTGGATTGCATTGATCGATACCGTTGGGAGGGCATATTCGCCTCTGTTGTGTTGGTATGCAAAACTTCGTGTGTCTGGAATTTTTCCACTTGATTTCTTAGGGCAGCCTAGGGCTGGGGATTTCTTTGCGTGGTGGGGCGGGGGGGAGCGATCCGGCGAGGGCAAGATTTTACGGCAACTTGCCCCACTTGCTACTGTCGATCCAATCATTCTCGCGGCGCCTTCGTTCCCATCGCTCTCTCCTCTCCTGGCGGCCGCGCTTGCCCTATAATTTTTCCTGCTCTTGCGAAATCTAGCGCGGTCCCAATGCGGTCGTGCCGCCTCCCTATCCTACTGTAGCTGATCTGATCGCGAGGGAGTGCTAGTACTGGATTGAAATGACCTAGAGCGCGAGCGTGAGCCATTCGATCGCCAGGTGGGGACGCGGTGCGGGGTGCTAAGTGTAAATTTCCAGGAGTAGCGTGTTGGGTTTGTACAGTTTAGTCTGTCGCTTTGTGATAGAGACCGGGTTCCAGAAAGGAAGGAAAGGGGAGGAGAAAGAAAAAAATAGGAAAAGCCAGCGAGTAGAGGGCTCTTTCTCTTCTCTCTCGGCTCCTCGACCTAGAGTTCTTTCGTGGCCTGGGAGATATGGACAAGGAGAGATATGAGCTGGTGAGAGATTTGGGGTCTGGGAATTTCGGTGTCGCGAGGCTGATGCGGGATAAGCGAACTCGGGAGCTCGTTGCTGTCAAGTTCATCGAGCGCGGCGAGAAGGTATGGTGATTTTCTTCTGTGATTCTCTGTGTGTTTGTGGGCAAGAATGTGGCAAAGTTTGGTTTTTTTTTCTTTGCTGGGTTTTTTCTTACCTTCTCTCTCTCTCTCTCTCTCTCTCTTGTTCGTTTGTCCAGATTGACGAGAATGTACAGCGAGAGATCATCAATCACCGCTCCTTGCGGCACCCAAACATTGTCCAATTCAAAGAGGCAAGTTTTGTGACTGCTATTCTGGGTTTGCTTAACATTTTTTTCTTGTTGGATCTGATGAACAGGTGATGCTCACACCGACTCACTTGGCCATTATCATGGAGTATGCCGCCGGTGGCGAGCTTTTCGAGCGGATTTGCAATGCTGGGAGGTTCACGGAGGACGAGGTGAGCCTCATCTTGTTCACAGGACAAAAAATCCTGACGACATGGTTCCTCGGTGTCGCTCTGTGCAGGCTAGATACTTTTTCCAACAGCTCATCTCCGGTGTCAGCTATTGCCACGCTAGTGTGAGTATTTTTCTTTTTCCTTTACTTTCGTTTTGTTTTTTCCACTTATCCCTGGAAAGCATGGGTTTACTGACCAACTTTCCTATTGCTCAGGAAATATGTCACCGCGACTTAAAGCTGGAGAACACGTTGCTTGACGGGAGCCCTGCTCCGAGGCTGAAGATTTGTGATTTCGGGTATTCGAAGGTAGGCCTGCTGTTTTTTAGCGTGAGTGGCAGGTCACTCGTTTTCACTCGCTTTATAAGTATGGGCCTTCTTACGTTTTCCCTGTGAACTTTTACCTTGCAGTCCGCTTTACTCCACTCGCAGCCCAAATCCACTGTTGGCACGCCAGCTTACATTGCTCCAGAGGTCCTTTCGAGAAAAGAATACGATGGAAAGGTATGTTCAAATCTGGTGGTGGCCGTGTTTGATTGGGATTGACTTAATTAATCCGCTAAGCAGCTTTCGGACGTATGGTCGTGCGGTGTGACGCTATATGTCATGCTCGTCGGCTCTTATCCCTTCGAAGATTCAGCAGACCCCAGAAATTTCAGGAAAACTATTCAAGTAAGAGTAACTCTCCAAACGGCTGTCACTTGTTCTGATTGCTCTCTCTTTGTGATGCCCACAGCGAATCCTTAACGTTCAGTACACTATTCCAGATTATGTCCGGGTATCTCAAGAGTGCCGGCACCTGTTGTCCAGGATTTTTGTTGCAACACCCGCGAAGGTATGTCATTGTTCTTGGCCGTTGTCATTCATTTCTGTTATGGGTTGCAGCGGATCACGATTTCAGAGATAAAGAAGCATCCTTGGTTCTTGAAGAACTTGCCGGTGGAGCTGCTACAGGAGGCTGACCCGACTCGTCCGATCGACGAGTCGTCCTACTCGCAGAGTGTGGAAGATATAATGAGGATCATCCAAGAAGCCAGGACTCGAGGAGCTGCGCAGTCGCTGGACGCGTACGACATGGAGATGGACAACGAGTTGGATTTGGATGTAGACGGAAGTGGTGGTGATTTCCTGTGATTTGTCAGGCTAAAACTGGCTCCTAATAATTACAATGTCGGTTGTATATAATTCTGTTTAAAAGAAAATTCTTAAACTTTCAAATGCTATTAATTATAAATAATTCATCCGTATATTGGCATATTTTATCATCTGATATTCAATTGGATTAATATTGAAGTATATTTTTTAAACAATATATCAATCTGCCACTCACTTAAAAACAAGGAGCTAGGAATGCTCAATAATAACGTGGTATTGTTGCAATTGCAAGACCACACAATAGTAGGAATGGATACACCATTTTCTTGAAAAGTGTAATTTTTCAGCATAGTCAAATATGCTTAAGAGGGAAGTGCCATTGAAACTGCTTATCCTGCCACCATGCAATGTAAGGATGTGGGATGTACACTCTCAACATACAGTTCCTGGCCGGTAGGGGAGTGAGCCTCTTGTGGTTGTGGAGTCTATCACGTAGACATGCCATGAAACCTTAGCAGTCGATAACAACACCAAACACAATGCCAAGACCTTTGGACCACACACCTTGCATTTGCTGAAGTAACAGTCACGATAGTGCCACTCAGACTCTTCGGATGAGATCCAGCACTTCAGTCCCCGCTAAAAAGAACCAGGCATATTGAATTTGACAAGGGATTGCTGAAACCTCTTGCAGGTTGATAGCTGTCCCAGATTGCTGGAATTGGATTCCAATGTCTGTCATCTCCAACTCTCGGAATCCTGCACTTACCTTGAGCATAGTGTTGTTAAGCAAATCCGCCTTCCACTTATCACCATGATGAGATTGTTCCAGTCATGGCTGACGATCCCGAAGAACTTGTCATCGGCTTGGATCAACCATAATCTGGTTGTTCTATCTCATTGAGACCACATTGCACACAGATCTCGTGGAGGCTGGAAGAAGGCATGGGTGCTGGTGGGTGCTGGCCATGGAGAATATCCAGACCTCTTTCCCCGACAGTGTCTCAGATCATATGTCTTCATCCCATGGCAACAATGCTGGTAATTCTCATGGCTATCTTCGTCTTTGCGTGCTCGGGTGCTATCTGACATGCTCCAGGACGCTGTGCAAGCCTATGGCAGGCCGAGGAGTTCAAGTCGGGGTCTTTTCTAGTTACAAAAGAGGTAAGCTCAGGCTCAAGCTCAAAATGGTTTCCACAACTAATTCCGGCTATGCGGAATCACGAGCAAGAGTATCACATCACGATGCTCTTGTCTTCATTCGAACGTGACTATAATATGGCAAGGGTCTGTAGAAGACCAACGAATCGATGGACTTATGTGAGGTCCTCCCCATACTTCTTGCTAATTTTTGCAAAGTGGTGGTGGAGTGGCTCCTGATTGCTCCAAAAACGCTACCTCAAGATCAGAATGTCCCCGTTCGTGGTGGTGAACGACAACGAAATGCACCACAGAGGTTCTTAAGGTCCACGACCTCGAGTTAGTTGAATTATCCACTCTATATGACTGGGCATTAATGAAGGTATTGAAATTTTCAACAGGTCCCCAATCCCTATATCCACCTCTCAATAGATGTGTATATAGACATGTTCTATAAGGATGACAAGGTTGTGGAAGTTCTTGCACCACCACCACCTTTGCTGTCACCAAGTCGAAAGGTAAATCTAAAATTTTGTTTGCACCTCTTATAATCTTTCATTCAGTACCTTTCATTACAATTTAAAGCTTATCAGTTTTCATTCATGGTCAATGTAATCACACACTTTGGCAACAAAAGCTTTGTGGCACTATAAATCTCAATCTAAATGAAGGATAATATACTTCGAGTGATTATTAAAAATATAAATTGGTTAATAAGAATTAATGTCTCTAGCTAATAACAATATTATTATGAAAAATTCCAATTTTATGCATTTATGGGTTAGGTGAAACAAAGCTATTTCTCTCTCTTTCTAAGACATTTAATTGTACAGCTTATTTTATTAGATTTTGATACCATTTGCTCCTAAGCTAAGGTTTTTAGGTTAATTGAATCCATATTCCATTCTTACATTGATAAAGATGAAGGGAAATTTTGATTGTTTTTGAAGAGTGTTTGGATGTGTGTTTTTTTAAAATCTACTTTTTGCATTGTCTAGATTATTTTATAACTTTTCATTTCTTCTCTTTTGCTTTATATTTTTTTTTTATTCATCTTCATAATAGAATAGTATATTCTTTTTCTGACTCTAGAGCAACAATTGGTGCAATTGTTTAATGTTATTTACTATAGTTGACCAATTAGATTTAATTGATGGCAATGTTTATAATGCATGGTGCAACTCCTCATGCTCTTGCGATCAATCCTTGTGTTTGATTGGATTTCGTTTATAGGAATCCTAGGGATGATGTATACTATACTATTGACTCAATCAATTTACAATGATTGCCATCTATTATTTTTGGAATGATGTTCTACATCCATATAAGCTTCCTAAATGTATCTAAGGGATGGCATTATAGTGATATAATGGTTTAATGGATTAAAGCATTTTTTTAGACATCAAGTACATATTTCGATATACTAATGATTGTGAAGATCCCTTACTCTTATTCAGATGCTATAATTATACAATTTAGTGTTTATTTCTGAAATCTCTTCCTTTATGCAGAGCTAAATAGAATGGATCAAGTTGAATATATTATAGCTAACACTTTATCAAAATTTATAAAACTTGTGTATATATTTACCATAGTCACCTTTCATGACACTCTTTGACTAGCATAATGCTATAAAATATCACATGCATATATTTTAGCTCCACTTATCGTGAGAGATGCTCTTATTTTTTACACTATTACTATTAAGGATGAAGGTTCACTGTTGGGTATATAATGAGAAGCCACACATATTAGTGTTGTTGGCATTTCCCAAATTAGTATCCTCTATTTTCTAGTTGAAGGCCTTAGCATGAACAATGTTTTATTGATGCTGTTAGAGTGGAAGGTCTTAACACTAATATTCTTTTGGAAAATGAGGAATCACATAAATAATGGAAGGATTTTGCATAAATAAGTTAGTGATCTCTTTATTCTTCTTTTGACCATCAAAGGGTTCATTTAACATTAGCTCATCTAATATTCACTTTTTAAGCTCAACTATATAATAAAAGATTTTCTATTATCCTCTCTATATTTTATATTAGTTGATATGGATTCAAGTTTATCTTTTATTACTTAATATGTTGTCATACATTGACATCTATACTTACATCCTGCAGCAAAATTAATTTGTAAGCAACCAGATTTTTGCCTTTAACCACTTGACCATAGATTTACATCCCAACTTAGGGAATTTATTAACCCTAGAGATAATCTCAAAGCCACTTTGACTTCACGTTTGGTCCAAATGCTTTATGTGTCCAATCCCACTTTAGACACCCAAAAGTACCACCAAAATACTAACATTTTTGGGATATTTAGGGTTAAGTGTCCTTGAATTAAATTTGAGTGACTTTTTAAGAAGTCTAAATTTAAGAGGTTATAATATAGCCTTAACATAGACTTATACAAAAGTGCACTTTTAGCATTTAGGATCGAAATGAGACTAACATAAAGGGTATGATAGCGAAAGTGTTTGACGAAAATGGTAAGCTATCATATAATGATATTGAGGGACTAGACTCAATATCGAGGGGGTTCCGAACACTAGCAAGTGTAAATCAGCGAATGAGTTTCTTTAACCATGTCAAGTATGGTTGACAAATAACATGTAAGAATTCCATCCTTATGCTCATTTGGTCAAATATTTAATTTCTCAATTAGCTTGGGTGGAGACTATAAAAGGGATCAGTAGTACCGACTTCTTGCCGTTGTGGCAGTAAGGAAAGCGTGGTTGTAAGAACTGGCCGACAAGTATCTTTCGATACCTGAAATCACATTTGCGACAGCCTCAAATTCAATCTCGGACTCAATCCCAACATTTTCACGTGTCACAACACTTGCTATATATTGGTCCTTCTCATATCCCTTTTTAAAAACTCATTTATCAATCACTTCGTACTTGTTCCTCAAGTATTTCTTTAGGAGTTCCATTTCTACTCTTGTCTTTTTAAGTTGCAAATTTTGGTTTATGTTCATTAAACTTCTACTTCAGCCATTGTCATGTGGCACACTTTCAACTCCACTTTAAAGCTTAAGGATTTATGTATTATAACTCCACCACTCATAGACAAAGTTCACCCTAGTTCATCCTTAATAAGTTTCACTAGTATTTACTATTGGAAGCCCACTCTCACAAAAGCTTTCTAAATCTATCAAAGAGACTCAATTTGAGAAAAAAAGCTGTAAACTTGTTGTGAAATTATTGTTACTAGTTTCACCCTTCAGCTCTCTACATACAAGTTCCTCACATTTTTGCACTTCCCTATCATTTGATCAATCATTTACAATAATACCTACATGCTTGTACTTCAAAATGTTGGTCTTCTTGATTAGGTGGCATTGTTGTGAATGCCTCTATTGCTGCTGGAGAAGCCATGGAGGGGTGATTGCTGGAGGATACTGGACCTGGAGGCTAGGACATGACATGGAGGGGTCCACATGCCATGTGTACTCCATCATCCAATATGTCCTGGTCAGTGTTGATGTGGCATGCCACTCATTTGCAATGTTGCCCAAAATTGAAAAAGGCACACACCAAGTGTGTGATTTCTTAGGTGGAGCAGATGATAATGAATGGTAGTCTCAAATCTTGGCTGAAAAAATAAACATTCAATACATGCTGGAATTTGCAACAATGCTCTACTATGCATTCCTTGTTAAATTAGAGACGCTGATGTTACTGTTTTCACACTAGTATGGAGGCTATTGTTTCATTGAGCAAGATCCATGCAGTAGAGCATTTGCTGAGCCTCAAGAGCTACTCTCCCCCTCAAATCCTCCTTGCCCATCCCGTCAAGTGTCACCCCGACTACACCTCGATCTCCAAGGAATCGGACGAATGGATCTTCAGCTACCTGGGCGTCACAAGCCCGGAACACAAGAAGCGCCTAGCGCAGTGGAGGATCCCAACCTTCGCCGCCTTCCTGACGCCCCCCAGCAGCCCCAAGAGGCGCACGCTTTTGGGCGGCAAATTTACTGCGCTGGA